GTTCTGCCTTCAACTAGGCTGATCCCCCTGGTGCCAGCCATTCCCCGCTGCTCTGCAGTTCATCTCTCTGCTACTGAGAGGCAGCATTGAGCAGCCCCAGGTGGGGACATCAGACAAGACCAGAGCTCAGACCCAGGCCACCCACATCTTGAGTCCCTCCTCCAAGTTTGTCTGCTCATCTGTGAATGTTGCTGGTAACAGCACATCCTGTTAGCACAGTGCCGGGCCCAGAGCTGAGCTGTTCAGGGGGCTGCTTCGGGTCACTCTCTCGTCTGTCTGGGCCCGGATGAGTGGCCTGGGGGACCCTCTCTGGGTCACCCAATGGCTGATGTGCACAATAAGGCTGCCAAGCCCCTACCCTGGGGGAGACCATTAAGAAGGGACCACACGCCTCTCTTCAGTTCTGCCCACACATAAGACTGAGCCAGGAATCTTGAGGCAAATGGCAGGGCTGAGAACCATCTTGGGAGGAAGTGCAGGGCCCGGAAGCCCGTGTTGGGTATTGGGTAGAGTGAGGGACCGTGAGGGGCCTGAGCACTGGGCTCAGAGTCCTCCAGCCCCAGCGCTGCCCCTTCCCAGCTCTGTGACCATGGGCAACTCCCCTGGCCTTCCTCATAAAACAGGGAGGCGAAGAGGAGCTCCTGAGAGGAGCTGTGAGCAGGCCAGACAATGGATTTAAAGGGCTGCACACAGCAGGTGCTCAATCAGTGCTCCTTAGAGGGGTGGGCAGTGGGAGGGGAGGGAAGGAAGGCATCCAATTACCATAGTCCAGACCCTTCTGGGTGATCCTGGCCACGACGCCGGGGTTGGGGCTCGCTGTCACGGCTGTGCCCAGGGCGGCCAGCACCACCAGGGTGGCCCACCTCAGTGTGCTGTCAGGGCCCCTGGCCATGTCTTCGTCCTCCAGAGCTGCCAGAGCCTCGAGGCCTTGGAGGGGAACCAGGGACCTGTGAAGGAGGCAGCTGGGGAAACGCAAGTCAGTAAAATGTGGAAAGGAGGAAGGAGCAGCAGTGGGGGCGGGAGAGGGGGAGGACACCGGCCTGCGGTTCCCCGGTTCCCCACCGCGGTCGGGCCACAGCCCCAGAGGCCGCCAGAGAGGAGCCTGGGAACTGTGGGGGGGAGGGGGGAGACTTCTGGCTCTGGGCATCGTTCCCCAGCCTAAGCACCCTGTCCCCCTCCCTGAACCCCTACCCTAATCCCTCCTCCTAAGGACTTCCTTAAAGCTGGGTGGTGGGTACATCAAAGTTCATTATATTTTTCCTTATTTCTTTAACGCTGTATTGGGGTGCAATTGACAAATAAAATTGTATACAGCTGACCCTTGAACAACACGGGTTTGAGCGGTGCAGGTCCACTTTCAATACATACATACCGCAGGACTACATGACCTGTGGTTGGTTGAATCCGTGGGTGTGGAAGCTTGGATACAGTGGAACTGTGTATATGCATGGCCGACTATAAGTTATACCTGGATTTTTGACTGCTGGGGAGCGGGAGTCAGTGTCCCTCACCCCCACATTGTTCAAGGGTCAATGGTACATTCAAAGTGTACGACGTGATAATTTGATATATGTCTACATTGTGAAACCATTGCCACAATCAAGCTAAGTAACACATCCATCGCCTCACATAATTATGATTTGTGCGTGTGTGGTGAGAATGCTTCAGAGTGACTCTCTTGGCACATTCCTAGTATACAATACAGTATTCTTAACTCGACTCACCATGCTGGACACTAGATCTCCAGAATGTATTCATCTTATAAATAAAGTTATATTTTTCTCTCTACTTTTGATTTCCTTGACATTTTCCTTAGCAAAACATTTAAGAAAACAGAAACTTTAGCATCTTCTTGTCCTGAGAGGCAAAAAGGATAATAATTAAATGCTCAGATTTTGCAATCCAGTATCTTAACTGTGGTTTTACAACTCAGCTATGCCACCTGTCTGAACCTCAATTCCCTCTCTGTGAAGTGGGGCTAACCAGAGCACCCTCCCTCTCTGGATTATTGTGAAGACAGAAAGGGCTTTAAACCATATGCGTTCTTAGCACAACATCCCTGTATAATATGCCCACAAATGGTAGCTATTAATGTCACTCTGACTTTAAAAGTAATCCATGTTCATTGGCCAAAATTTAAGAATCAAGAGAATAAAAATTACATGTAATCCCCAATTCCAGAGATGACAAGCAGCAATGTATTTTAGAGCCTTTCTCTCCCGTGAGACCCCCGTTTTGGTAAGCAGAGGTAGAGTGTGCTTTTTTCCTAGCAAAGATACATGGGCTCACATTGGTCAGTTTTGCAGTTTCCTGTTTTCAGCAAACAGTATGCAGTGTTCTTTCTCCTTCTACACGCCCTGCACTGGATTTCACTGCTTCCTCATCTTACAGTTTTTTTCATCCAGCTTTCGTTTTTATTCCTTTTTACCCCTTCCTTTGACAGATGTGGAACCTGAGGCTTCAAGAGAGGAAGTGTCCTCCCCACAGTCATACAGCTAGCTGCTAGCAGAGCTGGGATTCAAACACGGACCTCCAGACACCTCCCACACCAGCCCGAGTCCTTATGAGCCTCGGGGGCTGGGGGGATGTCAGCACACACTTCCCACCCCTACCCGGCCCCACCCAGCTTTCCAGACGGGTCTCTTCCGCTCGGCCCCTGCCCCTCCCTTTGCAGCAGCCTCAGGCCCAGTGTGGGCGGGAACCCTGCCGGGCAGCCAGCACCATCTCCATGGTGATGAGAGGAAGGGCGGCACTGTGGAGGCGGAGGCCAGCTTCTCTCCCTCAGAGTCCTCATCAGCCCCCTGGCGCCCTGTCTTCTCAACTCTGATTTGATGAAAGTCAAATGAGACCCACTGAGCCAAGAGGCCATGAGACCTCCTGAGTGTTTTCTTTTTTCTTCTTTTTTCCTGGTTCTAAAAGGGTCTCCCTTCCTGCCCCCATCTGCCACAACAAGAATCCTTCTGGCTGACTTAAGAATGGAAACAGTGGCCATGTACAAAGCATTTACTATGTGCCAGACACTGTACATGTATTATCTCCAAGCCTAAAACCTGTGTGGGAGGGGTTATTATTCTCCGTTTTGGAGATGAGGAAACCGAGTCACAGAGCAATGATGTCCCTGTCATGGTCACACTGCCTTTCATAGGAGAAGACTTCTTCCCACTATCCGGGACAGTTGCCAGGAGAACTTGTCACCCTAGGTTCTCACCCTAATTCTACCCTTCTGTGCCCCCAGACTCAGGTGTCTCTATCTGGACAAGGGAAATAGCCAAAACACAGAAACTGATGATTTGTCAGAAAATCAGATTTTTGAAAAGCTATCTTATGCCATTTTGAACCCCTGCAGCTCTAACTTCTCCAAACTCCTGAGTCCCCTGGGTCCAGGCAGATGTTGCATCTGTGAGGGTGTCAGACAGGAAAGGAGCATTAAGAGGAAACTCACATGATGATGACTTAACATTGTCACAAAGTCAGAATCTTAAAACCAACTGGCAAGTTTCTGGCTAAGCCAGCTCCACTGGCTTCCCTTCGATTCCTCAGGCTCAGCCAACTCCAGATGAGTTCATCGGGGACTTCTGGCCTCCTTTTCAGTCCTGCCACTGGCCATGCAGGTGCCCCACTGCTTCAGTCTGACTTGATTTTGAACGAATGACAATGTCTTCAAACCAAGGAACAAAAATCCTCAACTCACATTGGCTTCAACAATAAACACATATAATATCTCAGAGAAGTCCAGACAGGGCAGGTGTGAGGTACTGATTGATTCAGCAGCTAGCAGACATTTACCATCTCTCCTCTTGTCTGCTCTGCCATCCTAGTATCTCAGATTTAGCTTTGCACTGGCTCCTTTCATTGTGGGAAAGTCAAATTCACATTTTATGGCAAGATGAGAAAAGTTCAAACAGAAAGTCTTCTCTGCCCTTTAGCCTTCTCTCTCACCTCTACTGTGCATTGTGCATCTGCATTGACCAGATCTTCCCCATCAGCAGAAATACCTGCTCAGCCCTAAACAGCCACATTCTCTTAGCATCAATAAGACAACTCCTTAAAGATAACATTCCTTCTTGATCTTGTAAGAGGGTCACGTGGCCCGTCATCTTGTACTTGCAGGCCTGGATTGTGTAAACTGTCAAAAAAAAATACAACACATCATCTAATGTATAGCCCTCTGTCTCAAAAAACTTACGTAACTGTGTTTTGACTTCTAATGGCTCAAACAGTTCTCAGAGTTTTCTGAGAAGCTGTTTCTGGGTTATAATCTTCAATTTGGCTCTAATAAAATTTTCCATTTCTTTCTTAGATTGACAGATGAATTTTTCTTTGACAGTTGCAAGACGGCTGCAGCCGCTCCAGCTATTGCATCTAAACAGTCTTTTAACAGTGTTTCCTCCTCCTCCTTCTCCCCTTCTTCCTCCTCCTTTTCGGTCTTTTTATTATTGTTGTAAGATATTTCAAATCTATAGATGACTAGACGACCCGGGTTTATAAAATCTTAACATTATGCCATATTTACTTCTTGTAGTTTCTCTAGTTCTATGAATTGTAACACATGTATAGCCATGTGTAACTAGGACCACAATAAGAATATAGAATAGTTCCGTCATCCGCTCAAACTTTCTCCTGCTATCCCAACTCAACATGGCTTAAATCATAGGGAATTTAGATGTGAGATGGGTCAGCAGGAATTAATAGGTGGGATGAGTCAAGAGTGGTTAATTCAGGGGCTGGTTCTGCCCATCTTTCTAATCTGTGGTCCTTAGGGTGTCAACTTTTTCCAGACCTGGCTTCATAGTCCCTGCTTTCTATGTGTGACTCTGTCAAGTTCTTTGATCCTTCTGGAATTTGGGTTCCTCATTTAAATATGGAGAAACAATGCCCATCATGGGGGTTGTTCTGAGGATTAAATGAAATAATAGATGTGAATCAATCTGCATGGAGAAGGGGCTCAATAAATAGTCATAATTTAACCTTCAAACTAGTCGGCTGGAGAGTCCTGGAGCCCCCAGGAAAACACACTAGGGGCACCACAAACTGGATGCTGGGTCCTCTGGTCATTGGGCTTGGGCTGGACATGTGCAGAGGGTGAGGAATCCATGGCTCAGTCGCCTCCAAGAGCCTGTCACTCGGCCAGGCCAGATGCTATGGGGAGAATCAGCCACTCCCAGCGCAGCAGGGCAGTTAAGAGCATGGACTGGAAACCTTCCTGATCTGGGCGCAAATCCCAGTTGGCTGGTTTCCCGCTCCATGAGTTTGATTTGTCCCTTAAACTTGCTGAACCTCAGTCACCTCATTTGTCCTCAACCTCCATCCTCAGGTGCCCACACTCCATCTACATAGGACCAGATGCTCAGGTGTTATGATGAGACATCTGTGTGGTCAGCTGAGCCCTGCCCCCCAGCCCCTGTTCCTCCAGCCCTGTCCCTCCTTCACCACCCCGTCCCCCTCCTCTGCGTGTCTGACTCCTGGTGCATGTTGTCGGTGACTTTCTGTCCTGGTTTGGGGATGCAGGAATGGTGGTGGGAGGTGGCTCGTGGTGGGTACTGGGGGTGGAAGAGAGAAGAGAAATAGGGCCTCATGGAGATCAGGCCCCAAGGTGTAGCATTTAAAAGGCAATCAGAGAATTATATTCAATATCTTGTAATAACCTCTAGTGAAAAAGAATTTGAAAAAGAACATATGTAAGTGTATAACTGAATTACTATGTTGTACACCAGAAACTAACTCAACATTGTAAATCAACTATACTTCAATAACAAAAATAGGCAGGGGGGATGATATAGCTCAGTGGTAGAGTGCATGCCTAGCATGTACAAGGTCCTGGGTTCAATCCCCAGTACTTCCATTTAGATCAATAGATAAACCTAAATTCCTGCCCCCCCTCAAAAACCCCAAAAGGCAATCAGACATTTTGCACCATGGGGATAACCTCCTGAGAGGGTATCTCCTCTACCTTGTTGTACTGAAAAATGTCTCTTTCTGAAACTTGAGTCTCATTAA